GTGCACATTGATTTCACCAGCTCATTCCCATTGAAAGCTGGAACGCTCAAGCGACTTGCATCAGGGTTGACTAAGCATTTCTATTATCAGCTCTCTTTTTAATCGCTCTTTCAGTCTGGGAGTGCGAAGTTCTCCAGATCTGATCTCCATCCAAGGAAGCAGTGCATGCTTTCATTTTGCTTCATTTGAGCAAAAATGGCTCAGACATTTATGAGGATAAGTGCCCAAGCCACAGAATCCTTATCGCGTTATAAAACAAAATTCTATCTTTGTAGAAATGAGAAAAAGAAGGAAGCAGGCAGCAGAAATTTGTTAGGGCTAGACTGATGGAGCAGCTTTCAATGATCTACTGAAAATCAATCGTGACAGGGTTGAGTTGTTACAGGTTGAAAAATTGTGCTTTGAGAGGAAGTGCTATCGCTGGTGGTGCGGTACTGCTGCTAATGGCTCGAGATCTCAGGGGCGATGGGGCTCCACGGCAGGCAAGGACGCACGATGCAGTACGACCAACCGGTGCCTTTCTCAGGAAGCCAAAGGCCTGGCTGAGGTTGCACATAACCAGCTGGTAGGGGGTAAAACCAGATGCCTGCAACTGCGCTCCTAGAGCCCTGTGGCTGGTAGGGGTAGGTCCTTCATGAGGTGCAAGGTTCAGCTCACATGACAGCAAGGAGGAGGAATCCAGCAGCTGTTTTGATATCAGACAGAAAAAGGAAAGGTATTTTATAACCCCGACAGTGTTTGAACTGCACTAGTCACTCCAGCTGTATCAGACTCTGCTGTTCCACAGGTCACGCCCCAGCTGGAAAAATGTTCTTCTCCCTCTTGGTTCTTCCCAAACAGACACAGAGGAAGCTCAGTAAGAAATGAGGCTATGCCCTTTTCTTAATTTAAACAAAAAATGGGAAAAGCTATGACTATTTCATTAACTGGTTGGAGCAATGACTTAGAAACAAGGGTAGGGAATTTCTTGACAACCACAGGTCATTCTGTCTGTATATAATGCCGGGTGATTGTCAGAAAGGTGCACTATACCCCAGTCAGTTTGCACCTCCACAGAAGCCCTGGCTTATGCTCTGCAGTACTATAATATTCAGGCCTACCATGTTTTGGTTTGGTCATTCCTGTTATCTTGCGGCTTTGCCCTGGCAAGAAGCAAGAGTGATTTCAGTGGGGGGGGGCACTGCTCTTCTAAATGCTCAACCCTACAAAAGCCGTCGGCTTGTCTGGACTAGAAGGTTAATTTGAGCAAGGTAGAACGTGAGCAACTCCTGACTCTCTGCTTATAAAAATAAAGCACTCAGGCTACAGAGCACCTAAAAGGCGCCTCTTGGTTCCCCTATGCCTTTTCATTACATTGCCACCCGCAGTCACATAGCTGCAGTGGTGCAGGCTCTCCCGATTGCCATGTGAAGCTCTACTTCAATGATAACTGTGTAACCTCACTGAAAACAAGGGCCAGCCCTCTATGCCAAGGGTAATAAGATCTCACGCTAGCCTCCAGCGGACAGACTGTCTTAACCTACTGCTGTCCCTAGGCCCCATGACAAAGTGCAGAGCAACTCTTCAACATCAGGCCCTAAAAAGACAGCCAATGAACAACTACAGGGTCACAAATCTCAGGATCACAAATCTCATAACCATTCAGTGTCATGTGGTTGCACCTGGTGAACAACATATGACAGATTTCTTATGCTGATGGCACTAAGGATTTGTGCGCACACATGCCCGTGCAAAGCTACTTAGAAGTGTGCAGCCAGATGCAAGCATGCTCTGCCAGGAGCACGTAGCTGTGTCGGCATGGTGGCATGCCGAGGCTCAGCAGCCTCGGAGGGGGACCAAGATATTAGGCTGGGTGTGGAGATGCTCTAGCACAGCTCCACTGCTGGGACAGAGCTGGCTGGCACCTGGCCAGCCCAGCAGGCAGGGCAAACTTGCATCTGCCCATGCTTGTCTGTGTAGACATGCACTTAATAATCATTACTGCCTCCCAGAGCAAGTTTCTGGGCTTCGTTATATTTTTACTTGTCTTGCAGGGAATACAGCAGGCGCTCTGATAAATGAAGAAAAAGGGTTGCTCCCCTTTCAGAGGATTTATGTGACAGTCTCTTTTTCTCTCTCAGCCCCAGAAAGACCTACGCTGTTGGTATCCCCGGGAAGCAGCAGCAGCTCTGTACGCGGGAGCCAGCAGGCAGCATAGTGAGCGCAACACTACTTTCATGGCAGTTTCACCAGCAATGGGGCGGTGCCGTATGCAAAGCTGCTTCCAAGCAGGCTCCAGCTAAACTCAGGCAACTAAAACCTGAAACCCAAAAGATCCAGAAGGGTAACAGGGAATGGCCAGGGCTGGTGCTGCATCACTCTCACAAGCGCTAGGAAACAAATGCTATAAATGATTTTAGTGGACAGCCAGACCTTTTGCAGAGGGAGAGATGGAGGGGGGAGTGGACAGTAGAGAGAGAAAGTACAAACCTGGCATTAGGCTGCGAGTAGCCCCCAAGGGCGTACTGTCCTAGAGGGCCAGGGCTCCCTTTTCCTTTGCCCTGCATTTCTTCTCACGACACCCTAACTTTAAGACTCCCTGAAAGGGAAGAGGGAACCAAGGTGTCCGTGGCCCCTTCTTTGTTTTTAATTACTTCCCATTTTAATCTCGATTTGCATGTCGATCTCTCAGAACTGGGCCAGGGACTCCACAAAGCCCTCGTCAGCAACTCCCCCAATAATAAACAGGAAAAGGCTTAAGGGGCAAATCACTTGCATGTTAATGAGACTGTTTGCTGGAGTCAAGAGAGAAAACAGCAAACAAACAAATGGACTGAATTCCAGTGGCAGCTGTTTGCTCCTTAATCTCGGCTCGTCAGAGCTGCCCTTTGATGGGACACAATCTACACAAACGATTGTGCTAAATCTTCTAATCTACGTCCTCATTATTACATCCCTTCTTACGCATGTAAATCAGGGACAAACTCATTTTAATATGTAGATAGATTATGGAAGGGAAGGGGAGGGGATTGGAGGGGAAAAGAGCTGCTGGTGGTGTCTGTGGCTGTGTCTTTGAGGGGGTGTTAATGAGGTGCTGAGAGCCCCTGGGAGTGAGGAGGGGGACCTGCGGGCAGGGTGACAAAGCAGGGCTATAGAGGGGTGAGGATGCTGGTGCTGGTGCTGAGGGACTGGAGGAGCCCTTGGATGGAGGCGCATCAGCAGAGGGTGTGTGTGATGAGGCAGAGAGCTTGGCCTCACTGATGAGCAGTGGCCAGAAGATGTGCAGGCCCAGTTAGTTAGCGGGCTAAAGATCAGACCGACGAACTTTACCTAGGCTGGAGTAATCGGCTACATCTCTGACTACCGAGTCTAAGGATGCAGCCTGCTGCTTTTCAGACGAATGTCACTAGAGCCATGGTCATGATTTTTAATAACATTCTAAGCAGTTGTTTTGATAACAAGCATGATTATGGGAAAAAGAGCTCTCCTGCATTTCCCTGACTCTTGACATCCCCTAATCCAGCTGCCACATGCAACCTGCTCCTTACCCCACTAACACTCGCCTTCCATAGGAACAACTTGGAAGAACAGCAAGGTCATGCGGCACCAACCGTATTTACCTGAGCCTCCTCCTCCTCCTCTTTTCCAGGAGGGGTAGCCTTAAACAGCAAGGTAAAATAGGAAAAATATTTCAAAAATCCAACCTGGTTAGGTAACAAATTCTGCATTGACCTCACACCTGTGAAGGAAGCATACAGGAGACAAGCAGTAAGTTAGAGCATGAAAGTTGAGTATAAAAGAATGGCAGAGGCATGTAAGAACATAATCAGAAAGATCAAACAAAAAATAAAGCCACAAGTAGCAGGATAATCAAAAGGAACAAGAAATCATTCTGTAAATTCATTACTAGCAAGAGGAAGACTAAGAAAAATATTTGTTCACTACTCAGCTGAGAGAGAAAATTGGCTAAAGCAACCCCAGAATCAGTGGTGGCTGTCCTTCAGAAGCTGTAAAGATGTGGTGGAGTACAGAAAAACTGGAATAGGACAAAACGAGCATTGATTTTTTAAAAGCGAAGGAAAAGGTGCTGAGTAATTATGGACCAATCAGCTTAATTCCTGTTGTCATAAAAACTCTGGAATAAATAACCAATTTATTTGCAAAGACCAAAGAGAAAATAAGACAATCAATTGGACTCAGTGTGGATTTGTCAAGGATAAATCCTTTCCAGTCACTCTGATTTCCTATGTCAGGGCAACAGGTCTTGCAGGTAAGAAGGGAGCGGAAGATGTTGTGTATCTTGACTTCAGGAGGCCATTTAGATTTACATATCAAAAGATATCCTCGTAAATATACTAAGGAAACATAATTTAGCAGAAACTACTGTAAGATAGATACAAAATTAGTAGGAAAATTGTGCTCGGAGAATATCCCTCAGTGGTTCACTATTAAAATAATGGATGTATTGAGCAGAGCTCTACAAAGATGTATTCTGGGTCTGGTTCTGTTCAGTGATTTAATTAACAGCCTGGATGACAGAATAGAGAATGGGCACATTAGGAAGACACAAACCTGAAAGGCACTTCAAGTACACCAGAGGACAGGTTCAGCATTCAAAATAATCTTGGCAAATTAGGAACGCATTTGAAAAAACATAGATGAAAGTCAATAAGAAACCATGCAAAGCATGTCAGTGATATGCAGAAAAAAATGAAATGCATAAACAGGGGTTGGGAAACAACTTGTTAGGCAGCAATTCTCCCAAAAAAGAGCTGGGGGTTAGAATGGATTACAGGCCAAGCCAGAAATATTATGCTCCTGCAAAAAAGCAAGCCGCCTACTGTGGGGAATAAATAATGTAGTTGTGAAGACCTGTGGAAATATTCTTTACCTCTAGTCAGCATTGATGAAAGTTTAGTTAGTGTTTTGAGCCCAGTTTGGACATTGCCCTTCAGGAAAAATGTGGACCCATGGAGACTGTCTAAAAGAGAGCAATGAAAACGATCACAGATGTAGGAGACATGTCCTGCAAGGAAAAACTGAAAGACCTGATGTTGTGTAACTTGAAAGGGAAGACTGAGAGAGGACAAGAGACAATCTTCAGGTACAGAACTTTTAAAGGGAGAGTGAAAAGTATGTCCTCCACGCTCATGGCAGGTAGGTAAGTCCATACAAAACTGTGGCAAGAAAGATATGGATTAGACATTATGAGCAAAATTAATGAAAAGGAGAGAGAGCGAGACCGGAGGGGAGACACGGGAAAAAATTGCTTAGGAACTTATCTGTAAAGAACAAGACAGGTATAGCCAGTCACAGCGTGAGGCAGAGAGGAGGAACAGACAGCCTCTGAGAGTCTCTTCCAGTCCTACTTTTCTCCAGGAGTCTGTCTCCTCCTCTCTGCCAGCCACTGTCTAACCTCCAGCAGTACTGGAGAGACAAGTACACAGAGATGGATGAGGCATAAAGAGGTGCCCTCAGTTCATTGAACACGTCACAACTCTCCTCATTAACAACCTGGCATACATTTACTGACCAAGAATGGTGACAAAATGGAAATCTAGGAGACAAGCAAACCCTTCAGATAAGCAAAGCGACAGCCCGTACCATCTTCAGGCAGCTCTCTAAAAGAAAAGGACAGACACATGCCATCTGGATCACCGCAGCGTCAGGCCATGACTAACTAAACGTTGCTGCTAGAGTTAAAACAGTGGCTTGAGCACCCATCCTCCCCTCCACCATCAGATAACTGGCCTGACCACAGGTGTTTCTGCTCCCTCTGAGAAAACCTAAAGAAGGAAATTAGTATCATTGCCAAAAATGGATTTAGCTAGATTTTAAAGGCAACATCATTAACAAAACATCACATTTTTAGTATTTATTTGTCCCTTTCTCCCTATTCCCAACATCTTTCAGTCCTGATGTCAATCCTGACATCTGTCCTCTGTCACCTTTTTCCTTTGACCCCATGCATTCCCTCTTTCACATACCCTTACCATTCTCTGAAGAGCACAAAGTCTTTCATGCTTTCTTCTAGGATGAGAGATGGACCACCAGAAGGGTCATGCAATAGGGTCCCTCGGCCAGCTGGGCTTTAGGCTTAAATTTGCTCTATTTGGGATTAAAGATGGACCCATTCCCAGGCTCCATCTTGCTTCAGACTGCTGTTAGCAGCTCACCCTTGCATCTCAGCATTTGTGCTGACTCTCACTGCGTTGTCTGCCAAACCAGGATATTAGCTCAGGTCTTCAAAGATCTCTCAGAGTCGGTTATGTCTGAGTCTCCATTTTCATTACGACCCACCTGCTCCTTTGGGAAAACATAGTTGACTAAGTCTGTGATGAAGTGAGTAAAACTGGAGATGAGATGGAGATAAATGTTAAGGTGGTTTGGCTACTGAATAACTTTACAGAGGAAATGCACTACTTCAAACTTGATACATTTAGGATGGCCGTCAGTGCTCCCTTTCTTAAGAAGCTTTTCCACGATAACACAGAAGAAGGCTATTATATATTTTGTATGTAAATAAAATGTAACATGTAATTAAAAATAAAAAAAGGAAATAGTCCCTTCCTGACAGACTAGTGGGAACTTGGAATTAGCAGCAGTCAAAATGGTTTAATGGTCACAAGGAAAAATGATCTGAGACCCTAAGATATTCAGTAGCCCCCACTATGTCTAAGGAAGAACCATCTCAGGAAAGACACAGAGTGGACAGACAATTGCAGAAAAATATGTCAAGGAGGCTGGTGAGGGGGCTGAGGAGCGGGCATAAGAGGTGGTACACAGCGTAGGCATTTGCTGCAGCGCAGATGCCTTCAGCATTTTTCCCGTCAGAGTAGGGGACAAAGGTGTCGGCAGCATGGCACTGCTCCTGTGACTGCCACACTGGTGGTCACCACCAGGAGAAGGGCAAGCCTGCAAGAGGGAAAATGTCCAACCTCTTGTTAAACATGCCTTATGAGAGAGCCCCCACACTCATATCAGTTCCTCAGGGGAAATGTCTACAGCCCAACTTCAGCCTCTCTCACTGCTTACCTTTATCCCACATGCTTGTCATGTCCATCTCACTTAGTGACTACTTCTCATGCTTCTAGTGCTAGCCCAAATCTTTAGTCTTCCTCATCAGATTCCACATCTTTTCGGTAGCTGAGGGATTATATTTCCCTCCCCTTAGTTCCTACTTAAGCAAGTCATGCATGCATCCGTGCATGGTTCACAGACCAGTCCTGCAACCTCTCAGTCATTTTCTTTCCTCTTCTCTATGGTGCATGCATTTTGTCATATTTTCTAAATAAATATGCAAAGCTGCACAGAAAATTTCAGTTGTAACTCAGCTGTACATCAATATTATATTAATTGGCTGCTCCATAGTGTCATGTTTCTGAGTGTGGAGCTGTCTCAACCCTGTTTAGAGCTGTGTTGTATTGCAAATGCACATCATTATCACTCCCAATTTTATTATTTTCAGCCATTCTGATTGTTCAGCTGTCTATCTCAAATGTATTTTTGGCTCTGGGACTTTTTCCCTACTATAGTTTGCTGGCTTTACTTTGACTTACGTTCTCCTCTCTGCAAGATTCGGGTTCTCTCCTCCCTGATGGGCACAATCTTTCCCAACTCAGTATTATCTTTAAGTGGCATTAATATGCAGCTTGATCTCCTTTCTTGATCATTTCTGAAGATATTAAGAAGGGCAGATTTAAACACCATTCTCTGGAGAACTTCTGTCCTGGTCTGACAGTTGCACTCAGAGCCTATTATTTACAGTCGTCTGGCTGCAGTCTCATTTTCATTGACAACTTCTATCTAAAAATTCATAGTAATTTTCCCTGGGGTAATTTCATGTTTTGCTAATTAGAACTTCAAGAACAGACTTGGAAGGGGAATTTATCATAAAAATAATAAAATAGCTAACAAAATGAAACACAGCACTGAACAAAGCCCAATGTATTTCAGAAACTGGGCAAGAAGATCGCTCAAGCCAATTTCATTTCGTTTGAACTGTGTCCTCTGCAATCCAGCTCGGATTTATTTAGACAGACAAATCTTGTAAGCAGTTTTCCTACAAGTTGAATGCATTTGTGGTGTTCCCTTCCCTAACCGTTCCATCATACTAAGACAATTCAAGTATACCCAACAAAATTCCTTCTGTTGGGAGGGTGATGGAGATAAGATTTTTGCCACAGCAATTGAGTCAATATTCTTTCCTCCTTTTTGAAGATGTAAATGTATCTTATGATACTATGAAATGTATCTTATCATACTTCTTTCTTTGGCACCTAGATCTGTGGCACCAACATGTAGCAGCAAAATAATACAACCACAGCCCAAAATAAGAACTTCTTTTTAATACTCACCATCGCTCTGGGGCAGAGGAATGTACCTTTGTGTGTGTGCACTTCCTGTGCCATTTCTGCAAAAATAGAACAATACCTTGCCTCTCTTAGAGTGGAATCCATTTTACTTAACTTTAGATGTCTACATCTGAGCTAGTCATGGGCTCCTTCTATAGTCAATAGCAAAGTCATCAATAGATCTAGCCAAAGGAGAGGCAATTCCTCTAACCTACTGCAGGCAACTATTTCAGGACAAGATGAACTGTCCCCTCAGCTCCATTGACCCTATTGACTAGATCTCCTCTGACTAGAAAGGGAATTTGCTCACATGTAGACCCCTATGTTGTAGGCATTCATGCTGGGTCTCATGATTCCCGTTGCTGCACGCTGTTCTCTTTCTGGACATTATTTGACTCCAGATGCACATTTGCTCATGCTGATAGTTCCCATATAGAGGAA